AAGGGTTGAAGTTAAGCACTCCTGCTTAAGCATGTATGTTTTGAGTGAAAAAAAGTGAGATATACATGAAAAGAAAAAAAAGAGAGAAATTACCAAAAAGTTGTTAGAATTTTTGGAGCTATCAAGTTTAAAGATCAAAGATCAAAAATTCTGAAGAAATTCAAAAGTTGAAGATACCAAAAATCACACAAAAAGGTGATGAATTCAAAGTACAAATTGAAGATCAAATATCAAAGAAAGTGAAGAATTCAAGAGCTCCATTTGTGGTATCTAAAAGTTGTAATTCTCTAGATTATGTATGCTTGGGTAGCTTTACAAAAATACCTTGAGGTTAAAAAAAGTTTTCTGACGATTGATTCGGAGGGATGCATAAAATGAGCGTTGTTCGAAAGAAGTGGGCAAGTGTTTATGAGGATTGTGAGTATTTAGAGTATGGGGGGGTTCTTTAGGAAAAATTTTAGACACAAATGCATGCATTGAGGTCTTGGCAAAATGGCTGGGTTTGATTAGGATTGTTTTATGTGATGTTAGTATGTTTAAAATTCAGTTTTGCTTGGGGGCAAGCAAAAGTCAAGTGTGGGGTAATTTGATATGTGCATATTTAGTCATATATTTTTGTATAGAATATTAATACTTTTTGGATAATTTATTGCAATTATGGAACAAAATATGCTTAATTACATTTAAATTATATTTTCAGTTCAAAAGAAGTGCTCGGAAGCAAAAGGAAGCATGAGAAGGTATCGGGAGCTTGGGAATCAAAGAAAGAAGAAAAGAGCCAAAAACCAAGAAGGACTCGGCGAGTTGACCCTTGACTCGACGAGTTCCCACGAACATTCTCGAAGCAGAAGAGTCCTTGCCTTGCCGTACACGGGGATTTAATGAGAGACTCGACGAGTCAGTCCCTGGACTTGACGAGTCGCCTCTAATCTATAAAAAGGGTTTTTCAGATCGATACGGGATTTTTGGAGAGGAGAGAAGAAACCCTTGGAGGAAAGCTGCGATTAGAAGACTTGTTAAGGCGCTGGAAGTCAGAGAATCAACCCTAGATCCAATTTTGAGTAGAATCAAGGCAATTTCAAGTCCATTCTTACTTTTTCTTTAAGTTGAACTATGTTTGAGCTACCTGACTTCGTTTTTTTATCTTAGTTTTACTGTAATCATGAGCTAAAACTATTATCTTCTGTTTAGGATAGATGACTTTATGATTATGGTATGATTTTATGGTTGGATTACTTTAATTTGGTGATTATGTTTTGATAAGCTTGTTAAAGAACCTTATGTGTTAATTATAACTATTCTTCTGTTAATTAACCAATATATTAAGTTGTATGACCATCTCTTAATTGCTAATCTCATATGATTTATGTAAAAACATTGTTATATGCCTAGGAATAGCGAACGTGAAACTAGGGTTAATAGAGAATAGGTAAGTTAATGTGTGAGCTTGTGTGACGAACCATCAGCAAGAGGTTAATTGAACGACCAATTTAATTAACCACTACAAGTCTTACTTAACCCGAATCAATAAACTATAAAACATGTTAATTTAACCAACTGGCCACTGTTTTAATTGATTTGTTTTCTAAGGATTAGAAATAGCGAACGTGAACCTAATCACACTAATCGGTAGCCAATGAAAAGTTAATCCATTGCACTTGCCATAAAATCAACCATAGGAATAAAGGATTCAAACCTAAACAGAAGTCTTCTTTATTATTGAATTTAGTTGATCTTTGCTTGCTTAGTTGGTAGTTTAAGTTTTAGTTAATTGTTTAAGTTTCTAGTCTTGCAAAACTAGAGAAAACCCTTCCTTCTATTATTTGCTTTTTAGATAATTCTAGTAGTTAGTTTAATTTGCCTTTCCCTGTGTTCGATACCATGTTTGCTTAATTATACCACCCATTGACAGGTACACTGCCTTTTGTGTGTTAAAGTTATATTTAAAAAGTAGGATTAAAACTAGTTGGTTTTACACACATCAGGGTGACTCGGCGAGTCAGATAGGGTTTTCCCGTCTTTTGGCACGCTTGAACTCGGCGGGTTGCAGAGAAACTCGACGAGTCAGAAGAGGGTTTTCATGGCCACTAGAGTTCTGAAAGGACTCGACGAGTCAGTGACTGCACTCGACAAGTCGGGTCAACATGGACTGTTGACCTTGATCGTTGACTTTGAATTTGACTAAGGGTTGACTATTTGACTTCTGGGGCATTTTTGGGAAATTGGAAATTTACAAGTATGGTTCTATGGTGAATATAGGTGGTGGAGTTAGTGACGGCGATCCGAAAGTTTGAGCTCATCTTTCGAGTCGACAGTTGCGAGGTGAGTTATCCTCACTATACTCAAGGGTCTAAGGCACCAAGGCCAACCCTTTGGATTGTTATTTGGTTATGTTATGTTAGTATGATCTGTTAGATCGGTATCCTAGAGGGTAGGATGATATTATGTGATAGGTGGTATGACCTGTTAGTTCGGAATCCTAGAGGGTAGGATAATATTATGTGGTATGGTCCGTTAGATCAGCTATTGTCTATAGACTGTTATGTGATTATCTGTTATATGTGCACATGTTTGTTTGGCGGTTGAGGCTTATTTGCTTTGTGCGAAAGCCAATAGACCTGGGCATTCCAACCTATTGGTTGTGGGTCGTGAGTATTCCATCCCGAGGATGACTGGACTCATAGTATGTGGGCATTCCAACCTGTTGGTTGTGGGCCTGGGGTATTCCATCCCGAGGATGATTGGACCCATAGTATGTTGGCATTCCAACCGGATGGTTGAGGGCCTGGGGTATTCCAACCCGATGGTTGACTGGACCCGTAGTATGATGTTTATGATTATTATGTGTATTGTTGTGGGTATGTGTATTTTTGGGGTAACTCACTAAGCTTTCAGGCTTACAGTTTCAGTTTATTGTTTCAGGTTCATCGGATGGCCGTGGGAAGGTCAAGGCGTGACCGTACACTTCCTCGATTGATGATTATGATTTCTAGGAACTCTGATGTTTAAACTATTTTGAAAACAAATTGTAATAACTGAGTGGTTTTTAAATGATTTAAAAGTTTTAAATTGGCTCAAATTTTATGGATGTTACATATAGTAAGATGATTGTCTTTGTGATAATTGTCTGGTATGCCAATGTTTTTTGATGTTTATGCGGTTATTTGATTATGATATTATGTGGTAGTGGTAGGGGTGAAATATAATAGACCCAATATCCGGTTGAAACAGACCGAAGGGGATTGCAAGCACCCAAATATGCTTGATAGTATTGGTTAAAATAGACCGAAGGGGTAGGTGAGCACCCGAATATGCTTGGCAGTGTGTGTGTCTAGTATGTGGTATTTTGGGGGAAACTAACTAAGCTTTGCATTTACGGTTTTCAGTTTATGTTTCTGCTACTTCTGTTTCAAACGGGAAGAGCTCGGGATGACTGCATTGCATACACCACATCGCTCCGCTTTTTATATTACTCTGATATATTTGGATGTTATTGATACACTTTGATTCGCTATGGTTTTGATGATGTTGTTCTTAGATAATGGTTTATTAATTTAAAAATCGAAATTTTTAGTCTTAATTTTGGAACTTTACATCACCTGTTGTTGTCACCTACCGAGAGCAACAATCACTGCACCACCCTTCTGAAATCAAAACAACCACACGTCCAAGACTAGTTTACAACACCTTCATCATCATAACCCGAAACCATCACTTTTGTCTTCCACCATTAACACACCCATCTCTACCTTACACCACCTTGAAACACCTTGTCAAACTAATCTTCACCACCTGCATCGAAACCCACTTCATCCCATGTGAACCGAACACCAAACCCACACCTCATATACCCTTGAAATGTCCTAAATACATGTGATTTGTTAAAAAATTTTGGAAAATCGCTTTAAAAGTAATTATAATATGAGTTATAACAGTGTATACCTTAATGTTTCCAGCCTCTTTGATGACATCGACAAGTTTGAGTTGAAAGAGGATTTGATGGCTACATATATAAACACTGGAGACTACACATATCACCACGTCTACTTGCTTTAAGGCTTCAGGGTCACTGAATGAACCAATGACTAGTCAGGCTCCCCGCTTCTTAAAAGATAGCAACATCTGGATTTTTTCAATGTCAACTCCGATCTCCGATCTCCGGAGAATGTATGTCTCGTGGCCTTGTTGTACTTTGGCGTTTACTAGCCTTTTCACTAAGTATCTTGTTGCCCCAATGAATCACCATTGTCGGACTCCCTTTCCAAGTGAATCACCCCAAGCTCCTTATCTCACATGGAAGTAATCACCCTTAAAACACCTATCGACCACCTTCACTTGCACCATTGAACACCATCCTCGCCACCTCCTCCGTGAACCACCATTACTAACCATCATTGCTTCCATTACCACCTACACACCCGAGAAACACAACCACTTAAATTGCTACTGATTCTAAGAAAAAGACATACAAATTTACTTACCTGAAATCAGGGGATCGTGAGACCGCTTGCTGCTTCCTTTCTGAAATCGCAATGGTGTGGTCAGTGGTGGTCGGAGTTGACAATGGTGCGATGACCGAAGTGGGAGATGGCAGGTGGTGTGATTAGGTTACATTGATGGTGAAGCGTCGAAGTCGAGAAGTTAAGGATGAAGGAGCAAATTAGGTTGCCTACAATAACAGGTCACCACAAGGTTTTACTTGAGATAACCGTTTTATTTGAATAAATGATATTTTTTGTACTAATAAAACATTAAACTATTTAATATTTAATATTTTCTCCTTCCAATCCGTTTAATACATAGGTTTCTAAGTTCTAACTAACATATTGTCTTTACACTCCGACTGGTATCTTCTTGGAGAACCGTTGGCATCAAACAACAACCGACAGCCGTACCTGCGGTCAGTCGGTCTTCTTCTCCACGTGTACAGTCGGTCTTCTTCTCCAGCCGAAGAACACTAAACGATAAGCTTCTCCGGTCCTGTCGACAAGACATGAAAGATGGGAGACAACATAACAATTGCCAAACAGAAGTCGTCGACGACACCACAAAGCAGGACAATTGTAAAACCCAATTACATAACCCTAAAGAAAGATGTGAAAAGAGAAAAAATACCTGTCGTAAGAAGAGTTAGAAGGAAGAAACACAGAAACCGGGAGTTGGAGAGGAAGATGATCGGAAAGGAACTCAGAGAAAAGCACGTGGAAAGTGAAGGAGTGAGTAAGCAGAATGGATAAAATTGGGGAAATATGAATAGAAGATGAGAAAAGTTTCAAAACAGAACAATTTTAGAAAATGGGAGGGCAAAGTGTGATTCAATTAAAAAAACAGGGCACTGTTAGGAAAAGGTAAAAAACATGTGACAAAAGTCTTAAAGGAAGAAAGTAACTGTTAAAACATCCCATGCGCTTTAATATATATATATATATATATATATATATATATATATATATATATATAGGGTGAGGTTCAATAGAGAACCACAATTAACTAAGGAACCAAGGAACCAATCGTGAGCGTCGGAAATCATAATGATCAACGGGCAAGGAAATAGATGTATACTTTTACATTGGACGCACACACACCGGATTATACCAAAAAATCCACCATTTACAAAAAAAACCCACCACTTTTTTTCGTTTAAATTTTTTTTAGGCCATGTTTTTTATCAAAAAAAAAAAACCGAATATACCGTTGTTCACGATTTTTCGTCCTCTTTCCATAGAGAACCATGATGATATATAAAAAACGAACTTTTTTTTTCGAAAAAAACCCACTTCTTTGATTAAAAAAATTAAGGTCTATTTTTTATAGAAAAAAATTAATAAATATATCAAAATTCATATTTTTTGTATTTTTTAAACATAGATTCATATTCATGTTAAAAAAAAACGATATTTCAGTTCAGATTCACATTGTGAACCTGTTCAGATTCATATTGTAAACCTGTTCAGATTCACATTGTGAACCTCCTCAGATTCACAGTGTGCATAATAATAACTCAGATTCACAGTGTGAATCTGAACTGATCGGAGCTTTTTCACATTGTGAATGTTTAAATTTGAAATATTTACAGTTTAGATTCACAGTGTGAATCTACACTAATCGAGGTTTTTTTTTTTTTTTTTTTTTTTTTTGTGAACATTCTCAGATTCACAGTGTGCATAATAGTAATTCAGATTCACAATGTGAATCTGAACTGATCGAGATTTTTCATATTGTGAATGTTAAAAATTGAAATATTTACAGTTTAGATTCACAGTGTGAATCTACACTGTTCGAGGTTTTTTTTTTTTAATCGGTGTTGATGTTTATTAATAGAGTACAAAAAATTAATATTTTTGGTATAATTAGTTTTTTTTGATAAAAATAAACTTAAATATTGAAAAACTAAGAAAATTAAGTGGGTTTTTTCGAAAAAAAAAGTTCGTTTTTTGTATATCATCATTGATCTCTATGGAAAGAGGACGAAAAATCGTGAACAAGGGTATATTCGGTTTTTTTTTCGATAAAAAACTTGGCCTAAAAAAAATTTTAAATGAAAAAAATGAAGTGGGTTTTGTTATAATCCGGTATATGTGCGTCCATTATAAATTTTTACAACTCTTTCTTTTGCCGTTGATCGCTTTAAATTCCGACGTTTTGGATTGATTCCTTGGTTCATTGATTAATAATGGTTCTCTATTGAACTTTTCCATATATATATATATATATATATATATATATATATATATATATATATATATATATATATAGGGTGAGGTTCAATAGAGAACCATAATTAACCAAAGAACCAAGTAACCAATCGTGAGCGTCGGAAATCATAACGATCAACGACCAAAGAAATAGATGTACACTTTTACATTGGACGCACACACACCGGATTATACCAAAAAATCCACCATTTACAAAAAAATCCACCACTTTTTTTCGTTTAAAATTTTTTTTAGGCCATGTTTTTTATCGAAAAAAAAACCGAATATACCGTTGTTCACGATTTTACGTCCTCTTTTCATAGAGATCCATGATGATATATAAAAAACAAACTTTTTTTTCGAAAAAAACTCACTTCATTTTCTTTGATGAAAAAAGTTAAGGTCTATTTTTTTATAGAAAAAAAAATTAATAAATATATCAAATTCATATTTTTTGTACTTTTTAAACATAGATTCATATTCATGTTAAAAAAAAAAAACGATATTTCAGTTCAGATTCACATTGTGAACCTGTTCAGATTCATATTGTAAACATGTTCAGATTCATAGTGTGCATAATAATAAGTCAGATTCACAGTGTGAATCTGAACTGATCGGAGCTTTTTCACATTGTGAATGTTAAAATTTGAAATATTTACAGTTTAGATTCACAGTGTGAATCTACACTGATCGAGGTTTTTTTTTTTTTTTTTTTTTTTTTTTTTTTTTGGGAATCTTCTTAGATTCACAATGTGAATCTGAACTGTTCGAGATTTTTCATATTGTGAATGTTAAAAATTGAAATATTTACAGTTTAGATTTACAGTGTGAATCTACACTGTTCGTGTTTTTTTTTTTATAGTCGGTGTTGATGTTTATTAATAGAGTACAAAAAATTAATATTTTTGGTATAATTAGTTTTTTTTGATAAAAATAAACTTAAATATTGAAAAAACTAATAAAATTAAGTGGATTTTTTTCGAAAAAAAAAAGTTCGTTTTTTATATATCATAACGGATCTTTATGGAAAGAGGACGAAAAATCGTGAACAAGGGTATATTCGGTTTTTTTTTTCGATAAAAAACTTGGCCTAAAAAAAATTTTAAATGAAAAAAATGAAGTGGGTTTTGTTATAATCCGGTACATGTGCGTCCATTATAAAAGTTTACAACCCTTCCTTTTGCCGTTGATCGCTTTAAATTCTGATGCTTAGGATTGATTCCTTGGTTCCTTGATCAATAAGGATTATCTATTGAACTTTTATATATATATATATATATATATATATATATATATATATATAAAATTTAGATTAGATAAAACGATAAAGACTATTTTTATTCGAATGGCAAAAACACGGCCCACCCCTAATTCCACCGGGAGAACATAATAATCCCATCAGAGCATCTTCTATATCGATTTGCTTTACAAAGCTCAATTATTTCCACATACGCACGATTTCAACAAAAAGTGGTAGCTAAATCCATTTATACCTGCAATTGTCGACAGATCCGCGATTCTGAAACTATTGCTCGATAGCGTCTTAAATTTTGAAGTTGCTGGATCTATATGCACAACCCGGTACTAAAACACTAATTTCGAACGTATTTCATCCTCTGCCGATTGCTGTATCATTCGCTCAATCGATCCTGTTTAATCAGGTATGATCTTGTATTTAAAACCCTAATTTCCAAATAAACTAGTCAGATTGGTGGTACTGGATCCGATTTCGTTCTTCCGAACTTGACTTTTAATCAGATGCTTTCCTGTATGCGTGAGCTTCTTGCTTTTAGGCCTTTCCGTGTGTAATGATGGTTCACATCTCAAATTTCAATTCGGCATGTAGCTTGTAGGGGATAATTCATACATACACACGCTACTTATTCCTTTTACATACGTGTTGTTCCTGGATCAAATTTTGTAATTTGATTGACACGCTATAGGCAATAAGTGAATTTGTCTAGTAAATTGCATGAAATTTTTTTGTATCTAGTTGAATGTTTAGATACAAAATCATGTTGATTGTGACGCAAAATAGATGAAGTAGCTTACTGGTATATATTGATGATTGTAGAACGTATACGACTCTTATTCTCTAATCTTTTTCTTTAACTTCTGGCTACTTCTGATGTTGACTCCCAAAACTTAAAAACTGAGACATATATTTCATATATTTCCTTATATTTCATGTTCTTGACTTTTGTAATCTGTAGGGCTGAAAGTATGGGGGCACTTATGTCAAAGTTTTGGTTCATGATGTTTCCTGCAAAGGAATACAAGATTGTTGTTGTTGGATTGGATAATGCAGGGAAAACAACAACACTGTATAAGTTGCATTTAGGTGAAGTGGTAACTACTCACCCTACTGTTGGTAGCAATGTGGAGGAGCTGGTTTATAAGAATATACGATTTGAGGTATTTTTAGCTTCTTATTCATTCTGCAAACTTAAGCTTCTATGTTCATTGTTCAACCTATTTCACACAATCAATCACCTTGCAAATGGTAAGTTTTGTTTCAAAAACATAAGCATGTAACTTTTCGGTTCTATATCACTTTGTTATTCTAAATTCTTCAAATAGAAAAGAAATGCCAATGGGCACAACTAAACTGGACTGAACATTGAACAAGCTCTCTAGGGCTATTTTCAATGATGAGGGCATTCACGTCTTTTGCAGTAAGAATTTCAAGAGCAAGTCCCTATTCCACATTTCCACCTCTTTTGGTGGGACAAAAAGTTACATTAGTAAAATGCAAAATTTAAAGAAATTTATTTTGTTTCATGGATCTTGTCCTTTTGAATAGGACATTTCAATCCTTTTAAAGAAAATTTAATTTTGTGAACCAAAACACTATTATCTGAAGGAACAGAAACATCCCATTTATATAAAACTGATTCGTGAAAGCAGGTTGCTATTTTTCTTATTTAACCCTAAAAGTAACAAATTGATTCTCAAAATGTCTTCTTCAACATATGTACTTTGTAAAATATACCCAATTACAGCATTGTACTTCCATTATTTTATTATGAATACATTTAAAATTGCTTTGTATGCAAGGTATTATATATCCCTCTTAATTTGCAAGAAATGCAATAGTTACAGTTTTGGTCCCTGTAGTTTTTAGTTTGCATGGATTACATGTTTGGCACCTGTATTTTTTGACTTAGGAAATGACTGAATTATTTTTAGTCATGTAGCTTTTATGCATTAATTACAGTTTTGGTCCATGTAGTTTTTTGTTTATGAAATGATTGAATTACACTTTTGGTTCCTGTAGCTTAATTACATTTTTGGTCCCTGTAGTTTTTGATTCACATTAATTACAGTTTTGGTCCCTGTTGTTTATAACTTAGGAAACGACTGTATTACATTTTTGGTCCCTGTAGTTTTTAATTTAGGAAATGACTGAATTATACTTTTGGTCCATCTAGTTTTTATGCATTAATTACTGTTTTGGTCCCTGTAGTTTTTAATTTGCAGTAATTACAGTTTCGGTCCATGTAGTTTTTAAATTAGGAAACGACTGAACCACACTTTTGGTCCATGCAGTTTAATTACAATTTTTCGTCCCTGTAGTTTTTAATTCGCATTAATTACAGTTTTGGTCCCTGTTGTTTATAATTTAGGAAACAACTGAATTACAGTTTTGGTCCCTGTAATTTTGAATTTAGGAAATGACTGAGTTATACTTTTTGTCCATCTCATTTTATGCATTAGTTACAGCTTTGGTCCCTGTAGTTTTTAATTTGCATTAATTACAGTTTTGGTCCATGTAGTTTTTAAATTAGGGTACGACTGAATCACACTTTTGGTTCCTATAGCTTAATTACATTTTTGGTCCCTGTAGTTTCTGATTCGCATTAATTACATTTTGGTCCCTGTAGTTTCTGATTCGCATTAATTACATTTTGGTCCCTGTAGTTTATAATTTAAGAAACGACTGAATTACATTTTTGGTCCACGGAGTTTTCACGCATTAATTACAGTTTTGGTCTCTGTATTTTTTAATTTATGAAATGAATGAATCACACTTTTGGTCCCTGTAGTTTAATTACATTTCTGGTCCCTGTAGTTGTTGATTTGCATTAATTACATTTTTAGTCCCTGTAGTTTATAACTTAGAAAACGACTGAATTACATTTTTGGTCCCTGTAGTTTTATGCATTAATTACAATTTTGGTCCCTGTAGTTTTTAATTTAGGAAATGAATTACACTTTTGGTCACTATAGTTTATAATGCTAAATTACAATTTTGGTCCCTGTGGTTTGAAACTATTATTTTAACCCTAAACAGGTAAAACCACATTTTCATTTTTGCATCTAATCACCCTAAAATTAACAAATCAAACAGGTGTGGGATCTCGGAGGGCAAGAACGTCTTCGAACATCATGGGCCACATATTACCGCGGGACCCACGCAGTGATCGCGGTGATCGACAGCACAGACCGCGCTCGAATCTCAATCATGAAAGATGAACTTTTTCGGTTACTCCCAAATGAGGATCTTCAAAATGCTGTTCTTTTAGTGTATGCAAATAAGCAAGATTTGAAGGATGCAATGACTCCAGCTGAAATAACTGACACCCTTTCACTTCATAGTATCAAGAATCATGATTGGCATATTCAAGCTTGTTCTGCACTTACGGGTGATGGACTTTATGATGGGTTGGGTTGGATTGCCCAAAGAGTTACCGGGAAAGCAACAAGCTAGAGAAAACCGTTAAGGGCATAATCGTCATTTTGTTGAAACGTTTTATTGTTTGGACTTTGGATTATACGTAAAAAAGACACTTGTGTGCGATTTGGTTTTGGAAATTTCTTGGGTATTGTTTTCTTTTATAGGGTTGTTTTTGATGATGTGGATGAGAAGGGTATTTACGTCTTTTGCATAGATGAGAGACGAGTCTATGTCCCATCTTTTTAGATGTGGCGAAAAAGAAATGCAATTTTTGTCATATTCTAATCCTTTGTTACACGGGGATGAGACAACATTATACTAAGGGCGTGTTTGAGATTGCTTCTCAAAGTGCTAATTGACTTTTTGGAAAAGCCAGAAATTCTTGTCATTTTTATTTTGGAAAAAGTCTTTTTTTTTTTCTATAAAATTAGTGTTTGCCAAATACCTTTTTAACTTATTGGCTCTTTGAAAAGCCAATAAGCTAATAATTTTAAAAAGCACTCCCTAAATAAGACTACAAACTTTGTAAGGCTATTTTGGGCGATGAAAATTACAAGGGCAGTTACATCTTTTGAATAGAAGAGAGATCGAAAGTTGTCTATATGACGTTTTTTAATTCTTTTTGGACAGAGTTGTAATTTCTATCTGAAATTTTTTGATAAGTTTTATGTCCCACCTTGATCTATGTTTTTTTGGTGGAGAAAAAACTACAAATTTTATCTTATTGATATTATCTCTTAGGCCAAATAAAGACCGTTATAGTTTTTTTAATCGACGAAAGGATTTTTATTTTCTCTGGTAATAAATAATTAATTACAAATAACAAGAAACTATGATATACCTCTTTTACACAAATAGAAGATCGAGTTTCATATTTTTGATAGAATAAAAGAAATTATAAGGCTTACCGATATGGAGACTAAACCATGCGTAGGAGCTGAGTTGGCAAGCCAACCTACGCGTGAACACCGCCCCAGGTGCATGTAGGTGGCTTGTGGCATAGCCCTATCCACGGACGAAGACAACGAATGGTGTGAGGAGAGAGAAATCAACGGTCCTTTATTCGACCGTTTGTCAACTTAAAAAAAAAGTTATTTTAAAATTTTTTAAATTTAAATAACATCTACATCTTTTATCTATATATACTACACACTTTATCTTCATTTTACACTTCTAAATCAAAAAATTTCTTCTACTTTCTTTATATTTTCTTCAAAAAATGGACCCAAACCAAAATACTCCGCCCACTCCAAACACCCCAAACACTCCAAACACTCCAAATGATTATCAAACATACATGCAATTGTTGAACTCTCCAATCCAACAACCTTTATTCACTAACCTTCATACAACCCACAATTATTCCAACAACAATGACCACAACAACAATTCATTCAACCCCAGTTCACTCAACCCCAATTCCAAGGTTTTCAAAAACAAACTTCTCAACAATTCCACACACAATCATCTCAAGTCCCATTATCTCAATCCCAAACTGTGAACCTCGACAACGATGACAAACGGGTCCACGAAACACCACAACCATCTCGAAGAATGCAACAAAAAACAAAAGGGAAAAAGAAAGTAATGGCTTGGAATGAAGAAAAGGAAGAAGCTTTAGAGAAAACTTAGATTTTCATATCATGTGACTCGAGAAGAGGCAACGCGCAATCCGGAGAAAGTTTTTGGAATCGTGTTTTGGATCACTTTCACGCGCTACTTGGAAGGCAAACGGATCGGTCGTACGACGCGGTCAACATAAAATGGTGTAGTCTACGCGCGGCTTGCACAAAGTTTAGTGACATATTTGAAAATCTAAAAAATATGTATAAAAGTGGTTGCAATGACTTCAACATTTTATCAACCGCGTGCTACTAATTCAAAGTTACCAACAATGGTAAACCATCCGGTCACCAAAAAGCGTAGGAAGTTTGCCGTAACGGTCCAAAATGGGTCCTTAATCCGGAGATGTCGCTTTCGAACTCGTCCACCGGCTCCAACAAAAACCAAGAACTTCCGAATCGGACGCGGATTTTGGGCTATACCTCAATGATGACCTCGATGTTGGCGATGCAGAGGGTCCACCGGAAGTCCAACTCCATCGACCACCAGGAAGGGACAAAGCAAAAACGGCAGCGTCTTCAAGTGGAAAAGCAACCGCAACTAGCGATGACGGGCTTGTGGAATCCATAGATAAAACTCTAAGTTTTGTAGAAAAAAAATACGAATCAACGGAGGAAGCTAGTCGCCAAAAAATCGTTCTTACCGATCTTTAAATCATAAACACAAAGCCCCAACATGTGACATCCCCATTTTTACGGCCAGAAAAGACCGATTTCGTTTATGCTTTTATAATAAAATCAGAGTAATCTTTCAAAGAAAAGTGTTGCGGAATTTGTTCCCAAAACAAAATATGATAAAAAATTTATCAAAGCATTTCTTAAAGAAATGTATTTTCATTACATTATAAAACCTGGGATGCCATCGTCAATACAGATCAAAAGCATACACAAAACATCATAGGCCATAAAACAAAATTGACCTCAAAACAATATAGGCGTTACAATGTTCTATTTATTTTATATCGGCCTATAAAATCCATAATCCCTCGTCAGATCATCCAACTATGTTTTTTCCACTACCTGTAATACAAGAAACTGAGTGGGTCAGGCTAGGGAGCCTGGTGAGAATATAGGGTTTTACACCCACAATAATAAGTTCATTATCTATTTTCATCAAATCATTAACCCGATTACCCGTTCCCGTTATCCTCACTTTACGTCCCTAAAGCATCTATTATAAGGGACCAACCCTAAGGATTTTTCTTCGGGGTGACAACACTGCTTAGGGTGATGAACTAGGTCTAATGAAACCGTTGTCCAAAAACTCCTGAAGTTGCGTCATAAGCTCTTTTATCTCTGTCGGTGCTAATTGGTATGGTGCTTTTGCTATTGGGGTCGTTCCTGGTAACAAGTCTATTCGGAACTCCATTTGTCTATCAGGGGGCAATCCAGGAAGATCTTCGGGAAAGACTTTCGGATAGTCACACACCACTGATATATTTTGCATCTCCTTCTTCTCTTTCTTAGCATCGATCACAAATGCCAAGTATGATGTGCACCCTTTGGACAAACATTTTCTGGCTTTCATTAGGGAAATGATTCCAGAATTCACTCTACGTTTGTCCCTGTAGACCACAAATGACTCTTTCCCAGGCGGGTTCACTCTTACTATCTTCTTCTTGCACAATATCTCGGCATCATTGGCACCAAGCCAATCCATTCCTAGTACGATGTCGAACCCATTTAGCTCAATAGGTAACAACTCCTCGTGGAATTCGTTTCCGTTCAAGTCGATGACGATATTCCTAATGCAATCGCTAACAGGTATGAATTTGCCACTGGCAACTTCTACAACTAGAGCATCATCAAGTTTTTCTATAGGCAATGCTAGTCTTCCACCAAATTTATGTGATATAAAGGAGTAATTTGCTCCAAAATCAAACAATATATTGGCAGACAATCCATTTACAAGAAAGGATCCCTGAAGCGACGTCCGCTGCTTCCTTCGCAGCTTCCAGGGTCATCTGGAAAGCTCTGGATTTTGGCTTCGGTGGGACATTGGGCCTTGCCGCCTCCTTCTTCTTCGGGCAATCCTTAGCAATGTGCCCTTCTTCATTGCATCCATAGCACACCCTCTTATTGGATGTGCACTTGTTGGCGTAATGCCCTGTCCTTCCATATTTTTAGCAAGTCACCTCCTCGCTACATTTCCCCGAGTGTTTCTTTTTACACTTTTCGCACCACTCTGCCTCGTTTCCTCCTCCTCCAGATTTCTTTGAACCAGACTTGTTCTTCTTGTTAGATTTTGACGACCCATCAAACTTCCTCTTTTCGCCAACCTCAACCTTGCTGGCGGCTCTTCCCTTGATCATTTCCTCAACAGACTTGGCAGCCCAAATAGCTGCCTCCAGAGTAGGTGCCTACCGGACTGGCACAATGTACTCCCATGGAAGTCCCTTTGCATACTTATCAACTTTTGTCAGCTCGTCTGGAACAATGCGCAAAGCAAACTCCATTTTGTCAGTGAAGGCATTGGTGTATTTATCAATGGACATGCTTCCCTTCTTCAATGTTAGGAATTGGTTCTCTAGCTCAAGCAGATTTTGGGCCGAGCAGTACTTGCACGTGAAGTGTACCAAAAATTATGCCCAACTCAGTTGTAGTGGATCATTGGGGCTTAAGGTATTTCCCAGAGTGTTCCACCAGCAAACAGCGCCACCTCTGAACTGACGCACTGCAAATGTGGTATGTAGCTTGCCTTTGCAACCACATGTTATGAAAGCCAATTCCATCTCCGATATCCAGTCCATGACTCCAATTGGATCCTCCTTCCCCGTGAAAGTTGATGGCTTGCAAGTTGTGAAGTCCTTATACTTGCATTCATTCCTCTCGACTCCTTCATCATGGTTGTTCCTCTGGATCACTGGGGGTTCCACTTGACTGACAGTGCGAATGTAATTCCCTTCCTCTGCATGTCCGTCATTCAGTTCTGGTTGCTCAACAGGCATCGAAGGTTCATTTCTGTTATTCAGCAACAATTGTCTCATCTCTTCCCTTTGTTCAGCCGTCATTGCCCGAATCATGGCTTGTACTCCAGCTATTGTGATTGGGTCAGGTGCAGCTCCTACGATTGGCACTTGCTCAATCCCTTGGGGTTGAGGCTGCTGATTCCTGTTCCCATCTGCGTTTCTGACTCCACTTTTGGTCCTTGCCATGTCGATCTATACACCAAAGTAGGTGAATTTAGATCTTTATTCACGATAGACGTTTAAATTCTCCTTATCACTCTGAAACGTTACATGCTAGTTCTAATATCGTATTCGAACGCTTAGAATACTGAACACATAAGGTTTCCAGATCCGGTCAGCAACAGACCATAGATCCGAACAAATAATAACACATAAGGAAAGCATAAAGCATTTAGCACATAAAAGCATTTTAGGCATCTTTCCTAAAATAAACTAGTGCTCGTGTCTAAAATATGGAAGACACTCATCTCACGATCATCGCTTAGAATTCTAAGTTTAAGTCTGGAAATCCTACAAATTCCTAGTTCGCTTAAACTAATGCTCTGATACCAATCGTGACATCCCCATTTTTACGGCCAGAAAAGACCGATTTCGTTTATGCTTTTATAATAAAATCAGAGTAATCTTTCAAAGAAAAGTGTTGCGGAATTTGTTTCCAAAACAAAATATGATAAAAAAATTTATCAAAACATTTCTTAAAGAAATGTATTTTCATTACATTATAAAACCTGGGAT